CGGCCACTTGGGGGGTGAACCAACAGAAAAAGGAAGACCTTTCTTTCTCTCTCTCTCTCTCTCTCACTGTCTAACTCTGCCTGTCAGAGAGGCAGAGGCAGAGAGAGAGAGAAAGAGTTCTTTCATCCGCTGGTTCACCCCCCAAGTGGCCACAATGACTGGAGCGGGGACAATCTGAAGCTAGGAGCCTCTTCTGAGTCTCCCGCGTGGGTGCAGGGACCCAAGGACCCAAGCCATCTTCCACTGCTTTCCCAGACCATAGCAGAGAACTGGATCAGAAGTGGAGCAGTCAGGACTCGAACTGGCACCCATATGGAATGCGGGCACTGCAGGCAGCGGCTTTCCCACTAAGCCATAGCGCCCGCCCCTCAGTATGGAATTGAGCCACTTCCTCCTCCCGGAGTTTTGCTGTTGTCTTTGAATACTATGAGGCTGGCCCTTTAATCAGGATGCCAGATTTTTACTGATTGCTGTTGAACTGACAAGGATTTTGACATTGCCCTCACCACCATTTCTCACTGACTGAGGTGTCTATCCTGTTTTTCCTCCAGAAGACAGTGTTAAATAAATTAATGGAAATGACCAAGTCTGGACATGCTAGGAGCCTCTCTATAGTGGCATTTTATTAATGTAAACAATTACTTTTGCCAAACACACTGCATTATTCACAGGCTAATGTAGCAGGTTCTCCCCCCTCCCCAGCCCAATTCAGAGTTGAATCAGGAAAAGTGGTTACCAGCATTAGAGGCCTTTTTTTCTTCTCTTTTTCCTGTTAAAGATTAGAAGTCTGACCTTTTATACTTCCTCTACATTTGAATCTCAGCACTGTCTTAGCAAGTTAGACTGATTGAGACAAACGTTTTGGAAATGCTCCTCAGTGGCAGTTTTTTTTCTCTAAGAAAATTAAATGCACTATGTATTTGTCAAAGGTGGGACTTTCAATAGAGTTACTGTTCATTTAGAAAATGTAGGCAAAATGCTTTTGAATGGAGACAAGATTGCCAAACTCACCATGTATGTCAGTGCCTGTTTTTGATATATTGCCTTGATTGCCCAGATGCCTTTGATATGCAGTCAATAGAGACTATGAGGGAAGGTGGGGCTTGACATGTCAGTCTATGATATTAACTCCATTTAGAGTAGCAGGGTAAAATACAATCAATTAATGTACATTGAGAGTTGACTATACATTAAGCATGATGGGGATGCAGAAATGCCTGGGACACAGCACCTACTTGCAAGGGGTTTAAAGAATAGCATGGAAGATGAGTTCTTGTGAAGATGATGACAGCTACTTTGTTCAGGACTATGCTGTTTCTTACAGGCATTAGCTCATTCACTTCTCCCCAAGAACCTTAAGGTATATGCTCTTATGTCCATTTTGTGGATATGCAAACAAGATCAGAGTCAGTTCGCAGTAAGACCAGAGTCACCTGGCCAAGATTCACACTCAGGATTCCAGACTCTATAGCCTCTACTTTTAACGACTATGACAAAAGTAAAGCACAAAACAGCCAATAAGACAACTCACTGGGACTGGCGCTGTGGCACAATGGGTTAAAGCCCCAGGCCTGCAGCACCAGCATCCCATATAGGTACCAGTTTGGCTCCACCTCCCACCTAACTCCCTGCTAACAGGTCTGGGAAAGGAGCAGAGGATGGCCCAAATCCTTGGGCCACTGCAGTCATGGGGGAGACCCGGAGGTGGCTCCTGGCTCCTGGCTCCTGGCTTCGGATCAGCTCAGTTCCAGCATTGCAACCATTTGGGGAGTGAACCAGCAGATGGACGACCTCTTTCTCTCTGGCTCTACCTCTCTCTGTAACTCTGTCTTTCAAATAAATAATATAAAAATTTTTTTGAGAACATTTCATTTAATGACTTATGGGCAGTATGTCTATAATTTATCATCCAAACAATGACATTTTTGAGAGTGAAAAAGGATATTTTTTTTAACTTTTATTTAATGAATATAAATTTCCAAAGTACGGCTTATGGATTACAATGGCTTCCCCCCCATATCGTCTCTCCCACCCGCATCCCTCCCCTTTCCCACTCCCTCTCCCCTTCCATTCACATGAGGATTCATTTTCGATTCTCTTTATATACAGAAGATCAGTTTAGCATGCATTAAGTAAATATTTCAACAGTTTGCTCCCACACAAACATAAAGTGAAAAATAATAGATGATTTTTTAAATGATGATGAAATCAGATCAGACCTATTGTCATGTTTAATCCCAGTGAGAGTCAAGTTGGAAATTGATAATTTCTTCTTTTTTTTTACAGATCAGTTTAGCATGCATTAAGTAAAGATTTCAACAGTTTGCTCCCACACAAACATAAAGTGAAAAATAATAGATGATTTTTTAAATGATGATGAAATCAGATCAGACCTATTGTCATGTTTAATCCCAGTGAGAGTCAAGTTGGAAATTGATAATTTCTTCTTTTTTTTTTACAGATCAGTTTAGCATACATTAAGTAAAGATTTCAACAGTTTGCACCCCCATAGAAACACAAAGCGAAATATACTGTTTGAGTACTCATTATAGCATTAAGTCTCAATGTACAGCACATTAAGGACAGAGATCCTACATGAGGAGTAAGCGCACAGTGACTCCTGTTGTTGACTTTACAAATTGACACTCCTGTTTATGGCATCAGTAATCTCCCTATGCACCAGTCATGAGTTTCCAAGGCTATGTAAGCCTTTTGAGTTCACCGACTCTTATCTTGTTTAGACAAGGTCATAGTCAAAGTGGAGGTTCTCTCCTCCCTTCAGAGAAAGGTACCTCCTTCTTTGAAGACCTGTTCTTTCCACTGGGATCTCACTCACAGAAATCTTTCATTTAGGTGTTTTTTTTTTGTTTTTTGTTGTTTTTTTTTTGCCAGAGTGTCTTAAGAAAAGACAACTCAATGAGAGGAAATGAGAGCTGCAGTATGTGTGTAAACTCAGGAAGAGATCTTCAAAGGTCTACCAGTTCAAGTATTTCTCAAAAGAGAGGGACTTGATAGACATAGAAGCCAGTGGAGATATTACCATTGACTGCACAGAAGTACACCCCAGAGATTCTCATTCTCTAGAGCTTGGATTAGGACACGTAAAAAGTTTTCAGAGGGCAGGCATTATTATAATGCACTGTGTTAAACCACTGCTTGGGACACCCACATCCTATATAGGAGTGCCTGGATTTGAGTCTCACCTTGGCTTCCATCCAGCTTCCTGCTAATGTGCACCCTGGGAGGCAGAAAATTATGGCCTAAGTACTTGGATCCCT